TAATTCAAAAAGTACGAAAGATAATAAAAAGCTACTACAGGCGATTAGGACACGCATTGCTTAACACTTAGCGATATAATTGAGAGAGTCTGCTTTATGCTTGCCCGCTTGGCGTATCCAGATGGCCTCCTTAAGCAGCCATCTGAAAATGTTGATTTCCCTGTCGACTGTTTTTAGAATGTTCCCAGTCAATGATATGTTTTTGCTTTGTGAAATGATTTTTCAGCACCAACTTATTAGCCAGAGACTGAAAATGCTCTTTTTCTGATATAGTGATTTCCTTGCCTTCTTGAGTTCCTGTATCGTAAACGCATTCTGCGACGTTCTCTTTTGGTGCTTTCAATATCTTCTATTGTTTTGTTTTGTTGTCTCAAGATGCCTATGTGCTTTCGTAAATCTATGAGAATGAACTAAATAGAAAAGTTAAAAAGTTTTGAGCATCCTGCAAAGTGATATTTCCTATTGACGATTGGATGGACATACGTCCCGGATTTTCCTATTAATATACTTTATGAGATATGGTGCACTTCACATGGACAAAATGCTTATCAGTGTGTGTCCTTCTGTAAATCGACATTGATCTATTATCCTCATGACAAAACTTGTTGATGTATTTTTTGTCTCTATAACAAACTTTGCTCTTTCCGTTCCTATTAAACCTATATAGAGACATTCTCCGAACAGGTAGTGTTATTTTGTAGGCGAAGTCTCATTGAAGTAGCTGGTAGCTACCTCTGATTTTTGTTTTATTTACATAACTATGTTGTGTTTCGGGAGAGTTATCTTAAAGTCCTGTGTATGTCAATCAAATAGCTATTTGTTGATACATTAATCCATATTTTTTTTTTATTTTTAACAATTATTCCTCATTGTTCAGTCTTACAGTATTGCTTTAGTGGGAAAATATATATTGCGACGAACCACAAAACTAAATGACAATACAGATACTAACATAAACATGTGTAACGAACAGCCTTGTGAACAGGAATATACCCTTCTACAAATTGTGTATGCTAAGTTGGTTAATACGTATGAAATATTTTATACACTTGATACGAGTGCAAGACTATGAAAAAGCCGTTAAATAGTCAATTTAGACGGTTTAGAGTTTCAATGAGTCGGGATAAAGGTGCTACTAGTATTTCAGTTAGTTCAACAGGCTGTTAAACATATCTATATTGTTATGTCACTCGATGTGTTTTCTCGAATTTGGCAGTAACGGTATTTCCAAATCGTAATGCCTGGGATAAAGGACGATTGCTGAAAGGAAAATCACGTTACATGATGCCACGAGATAAAGATTTAGAAGGCTACATGAAAGTGTTACTTCATCGTCAATTTTTTTTTAATTTCAAAGTGGCTTATTTTCTTCGTTGGTGAGCGTGGTATATTTGTCGGTATATCGTTCTCGTTACTTATGTACCTTCTGAATAGTTCACTTGAGTTCAAACGCGGGCAGGCATTTGTTTCTATCACAAATTGTACATGTGTATCTCGATACTAATTTCTACTCCAGAAAGACTTTTCTTGCAATAGACGATGTCAATGAAATGATAATTGAGGGGTGTGACTTTGGAGTCACTTTAGAGGCTGCTGGATTTAATAGCCTTACTCAAGATGACAAAGAGAAAATCCAAAAAGGAATGAAAACTACCGTGACAAGTTTAATTTTCCTTTCGTCATCTGTCCTCGGACAAAAAAGGAGGCCAGGTAATAAGGACGAATTAACAAAAGATGTAGAGCAAGTAAAACTGAGAGCGTTATTGCGAATGCTTAGTATTGTACAACAATGACGTTTCTACTGATGTCGTTCAAATCTAATACTATCACAGAGGCAGATCAAGGATAATGGAAAGTTATAATATTTACTATCGTTAAACACTTCTGACACAAACTTATTGTCTTACTATAAAGCTTCATTATCACTCTTGTCCTTCAGAATAAAATTAATATGTATGACGTTGTGTTCGTAAATGTGTAATAACGACAAATATGAACTGTGTTTTATTCATATCATTCAGGGATTTGTTTGGTATTGTTAATTCTTATTTCTTTATTTGTTTTTAGATAATTCCATTCAAAAACACGTTGCGGTCGTATGTATACTGAAAGGATAAAGAAACGCAGGGTAATATTTATTCCGATATTTTGAAAACGCAATCTCCAAATAAAGTGAAACTTTGTGGATTGAGCAATTAGGTCATATTACACCTTGTCATGTATCGAAAATTTAGTCACGGTACAGTGCGCAGCTCAAGTAAATAGAGGAAGGAAAAAACAAGAATCTCGTGCACCGTGTTGTTCTGGTCTCATGCAGCGTTGGTCAAGTCATTCTTCGTTAGTCTTTATACAGACCAACTGCTTCCTTAAAATTAATTGAGAATTTGATTCGTTTTAAGAATGGCACGACTCCCAGAAGTTCAGATACTGATGCAAGGACAACTTGCAAAGTCAGGTTGCTAGGCACTTTGGTGTTAATGTTTCCACCATAGAACGTCTTGTAAGACGTCTTCGGGAAAATGGGCGATTGGCCGATCGATCTAGGTCAGGAAGTCCGCGCGTAACGTCACGACGTCAGGATCGCTATATCGTCGTCTCTCATGTGCGTAATCGGCGCCTTACTGCCGTTGAGAGTGCACTTAATGTTCGTAGAAATCATGGGCGTCCTATAAGTTCAAAAACTGTAAGGAATCGATTACGAGAAGTTGGTGTAAGAGCACGTCGCACCTACATAGGTCCACACCTTACCCCTGCTCGACGTCAGCGTCGTATGGCCTGGGTCGCTGCACATGCTCCACTGAGGCAGTGGAGACAAGTTTTCTTCACGGACGAGTCTCGATTCTGTCTTTATCGATCTGACGGCCGTCAACGTGTCTACCGACGTCGTGGCGAACGTTTTACGGACGCTTGCGTTGTAGAGAGGGATAGGTTTGGGGGCGGTTCAGTAATGGTGTGGGGAGGAATCTCACACGGGTTAAAATCACAATTGGTTGTTATTGATTACAATTTAACTAAGCAGCTAAGTATAGAGATGAGATCCTCCGACCCCATGTTATCCCTTTCATACAGCAGCATAATCTAATCCTCCAGCAGGATAATGCTAGGCCCCACGTAGCAAGGATTTGCCAAGTCTTTCTGGCCAACAACAACATTTAACCACTAGACTGGCCGCCATATAGCCCTGATTTTTCCCTGATCAAGCATCTTTGGAACCAGTTGGATAGACAGGTTCGACGCGCCAGCTATCCCCTGCTACTCGAGAGCAGTTGACCAGAGCTCTGATTGAAGAGTGGGACAACAGCCCCATAAGACGGACTAACGCTCTCATGAACTCTATGACCAGAAGAATAAGGGTCGTGACCACAGCAAACGGCGGACACACAAGATATTGATGACTCAGTTCAATTTCAATTTCAAAATCCTATGGGTCCATTCAATTTAATCGTTAGTACCTCTAAACCAATTGTCAGATGCAAAATACAGACTTTGGAATTTTTTAAGCTTTAATTTATCTGTAAGTATACAAAATTTCGTTTTACATTAAGCCCGATATCATACTTAATTTCTGGTTTAAAGTTCACCCTGCGTTTCTTTATCCTTTTAGTATACTTAACTTTGATGTCCCAGAATATGAAGCTTATGGCGGAAAACATTTTGAAAACTAAAACTAAACCAAGAGACGAACAAAGAAAAATAATGGATATGATGCTTGACCTTAGTAGATAATGAATTTAAAAACATGCGGAATGTAATGCAACCAAAGACTTAAGACCTATGAGGTCGTAATGCTATCCAGACAACAATGACTGAATAGTAAATCAAATTACCATGGACCAGTCCTTCCGGAAATCAACAATGTCAGTGTGGTCACAAAAACACATTAGATTAGAGATAGGGTTAACTGGCATCCAGGTGTTAAGTTAAACGACAATTTAATCGGCGACAGGGTTTTAACTACATCAACAATGTTAGTATAGTCAGTCAAACACCAGTGTATTTAGGAGAAGTTTTTATGAGTCGTATCATCCAATAGAAGTGCCTGTACAACAAGACATATAAAAACATGCAGAGTATTAACCATTCAGCACACAGATGGTCCACTTGATTGTTAATAAATGTTGCATTGTCATATATCAATCCGTCCACATTCTTGTAAAAGACATAAAAGAAAGAATTCATTTAATTGTACCAATATTCATTTATAAGTTGTATGATCAAGACGGGTTCTTCCATAAGTATATAATCTTAAAAAAACTGATACCTTAGTATGTACTTATATAACAACGTGTATGTAGTCTGGTCACAATAAAGATTAGTATTGTATATTGTGTGTATGATGAATATTGCCTACAACATATGTCGAAAAATCAACTTCTCGTATTCTATTGATGACACTGATTGGCACTCTATGAGTTGTCGACGGGTTTAGATGTTACACAATTACTCAACCATGCAATACAAATATCTTATCATAGTAGATCAATATTGTAACAGTCAAATAGCAAACTAACACCATCGCGATTAGAGGAATATCATCTCTGTTTTATCCATTTTTAGTTTTAAATGCGTTTTTGTAAACACACATGTATTATGTTGTAATAGTTACTTGCTATAGATGTTACGTAACGATTACGGTAGATCTACTGACAAACTATTCAGCCAGTGAACATATGATTAAAATTTCTGTATGTCAATTATATTGGCTTATTTGTAATTGTTGTGCCATAAATGAACGATTTAAACACAATACAGTATGTAGTATGTTAATATACACAATAAAGTTCGACAGCTGTGATTGAGATGGTGCATAAAAATATCACTACGCAGGTATGTGACCCGATCACATGTTGACGGTTCTACATCACTAAGTGTATCTGTACTTCACTCCTCTTTCAGCTTGAATGTAGGTCAAGGTATGTCAGTGGGATCCGTGTCCATACGTATTTCTGATTTACACTCAATGTAAACAAGTCAGTGAATGACGTTAGGATACAGAAAGCATGGCTAGGTGAGTATAATACTTTGTAGTTAATGAATTACACTTGTCATCGGTCTCAGGATAGGATATGGTGAAATGTATGAAACTACAGAAGTGCCACTCATGTTTCACGCTAGGTGTATATACTAAAGTCTGTACATGTACATATCTATATCAATAGTAACTAGTTGGTGAGTTATGCTTTTACTATAATGCTATGTACACTAAAGTTGGAAATAGTGTGACGAGATGGTAAAAATATTATAGACAAAAACAATACAGCAGATGGTAACAACGATTTATATTTTCTCAGTCAATGACATAATTTTGTGGTGATTGAGAGTATCTGTAAATGCCTATTGATTGACCTGGGACTGAAAATACTTTACTTCTGATCAGGTGAATGTTTCCCGTCAATGGACTGTGTCTTTCTGATGTTCATTCAGTCGCACCCCGACTAACTGTAAGATGTTCTCTTTGGGTATCTTCATTGCCTTACGTTGAGTTTAGTTTTTTTTCTTAACAATTACGCTTCATTCATTGTTCAGTCTTAGAGACAAAACATTATTCTTAGAGAGAAAACATATAATGCGACGAACCACAAACCTACATGACAATACAGGCACTTGCATAAACAGGTGTGACACACAGCCTTGTGAACTTGATATTCATTTCTATAAAAAAACAATCGCACATTTGCATAAGGAATGTACCCTTCAACAAATTGTGTATGGTAAGTTTGTAAACATGTATGAAATAATTTAAACACTTGATACGAGTGCAAGACTACGAAATAAGCTTGACAGAGTCAATTTAGCTACGGAATGAAGACACTTTTTAATGGAATCATTGAGTCAGGAAATGGTATTATTAGTATTTCAGTTAGTTCAACAGGCTGTTAAACGTTACATTTATATTGTTATGTCACTTAACTCGTAATGCTTGGAATAAAGGATGAATGCCGAAAGGAAACTCACATCACATGATGCCACGAGGTGAAGGTTAAAGAAGGCTATATGAAAGTCTTACTACATTGTTAATGTTTCATTTTAAAGTATCTTATTTCTTCGTGGTATATTTGGTATATTGGCCTTATCCGTCTCGTTATTTATGTTTGTTTAGTTAACTTCTAGAAATTCAAAGGGGTTGAACGCTATACTTCCGAGTAGTTCACGTGAGTCCAAACGCGGGCATGCATTTGGATTATTTGTCTCTAATACAAATATTTACGTATGTCTCTCCATACTTATTTCTACTCCAGAAAGACGTTACTTACAATAGATGATGTCAATAAAATGACGTCCGATCAATTCATCGATGTGTTTGGTAATATTGTGGAGCATTGTTCGCTTTGTGCCGCCGCTGTGTGGCAGCACCGTCCATTCCAAGACGTTCATCACTTACACAAGGTCGTGTGTGAATTCCTCGACAATCTTCCTGTGAACGGTTAGTCATTGTATATATAATGTATATATTAAACATCTATTTATATCACATGGTAACACATCAATTTACTGGTTAAGAAAACATAATGTGGGAAATTAAAAGAAAAACTAATATTCTGACTTTGATACGCTTTGTTTGTAATGAAAAGTTTCGGTACCTGTAGGTAAACAAGGAGTCCTCCGCTTACATCCGGACCTTGCCGGAAACGTTGCAGGGGGCCTGACTTTGGAGTCGCATAGTGAGCAAAAGTCTGCTGGAATTGATAGCCTTACTCTAGATGAAAAAGGGAAAATTCAGGAGAGGAATAAAAACTACCGTGACAAATTTAATTTCCCCTTTGTCATCTGTGCTCGGAAAAACAAAAAGGAAGCCATTTTGGAAGGATTGGAGCTTCGATTACAAAACAGTAATGAAGAAGAAGTAACAAATGGTATTGAGCAAGTAAAACTGATAGCGTTATTGCGAATGCTTAGTATTGTAGAAGAATGACATCTTTACTGATTAAACAATTCTGACACCCAGTTATTGTCTTACTATTTTCATCAAGCTTCATTAAAACGCTTGTCCTTCAGAATGAAATTAATAAGTATGACGTTGCAATTGTATATGTGTTTTATTCATGTCATTCAGTGTTTTTTGTATTGTTTATATAATTCTATTCAAAACAGTTTGTAGTCATCTGTTCTTAACTATGATGTTCCGGCATATTCTAACTATGGCGGAAATATTTTGAATACTAAAGCAAATCAGGAAACATACGAGAGAAGACAATATGATATGACGCTTGACTTTAACTAGATAATGAATGAAGAAACAAATGTGGAGTGAAATGCAACTTACGTAATGCTATTAAGACACCAATGATAGAATTTAATTGGTGACAGGGTTAAAACTGATGTAAAAAATTAAAAAAAAAAATGTTACTGACATCAACGATATTATGGTTAATTTAACGACAATATAATTAGTGACAGGACTACAACTGTCATTAAATTGTAAGTATTTTCAGTTGAACGACAATTTAATATTTAATTAGTTACAGGGTTTTAACTGGAACAAGTATTGTTAGTATCGTAAATTAAAAGACAATGTAATTAGTGACAAGTTTATATCTGACACCAACAATGTCAGTATAGTTAGTTAAACGATATCGTATTTAGTGATAGGTTTATATCTGACACCAATATAGTATGGTTAATTTACGACAATGTTATTAGATGCTATTTTATGATTAACTTCAACAAAGTGGAATTTACGACATCAAATTATTAGATATAAGTTCTTGATACAGATTATCTACCATTCAATGCACAGAAGGAACATTTGTTTGTTATCAATTGTTGTAGTGTGATGTAACGGTCAGTCTACATACAAATTAGCACTGTACTGCGTATGTTACGAATATCGTGTTATACAGCAACGTAAATATTTATTTTAAAGAAATGTATGTAAATAAAATTATGCATTTTAATCAGATCTGTGTTAAAGATCCCCAATGTCGTTCGTTTTAACTATGTCAGGTCTTGACCCATTATTAATTATGGAATGACGTTTCTTTTACAAAAAAAGCAAGGATAAATTTACTATTAGGCGATGATGACAATACAGCATAGACAAGGTAATCAAAAAGATAAATACGATATTTTTTCGCAATGCAAAAGGTGTAACATGATTAAACTGATTTTACTACTTAATTTCTTAGTGCTTTTATAAATAATTCTTGTATTGTTTGTACGTAGATGGGGGTAGATAAGTATGATAGGGTAACATATATATGTTTGATTATGTTATGAATTAAAACATAATCAAATATCAAATTCAATAAAACTAGGGCAAAATGTGGACAAAAAAGATTTATACGAAGAATCCTGGAAAAGTACAAGGATAATAAGGTCAAGTGTTCAAAAGGAATAAGAGTGTTCGTGCTTTGTAGATGATAAGAAAGTTGTCCCTTCACTACACTACTTATACATACCAAAACAAATTATTACTTCCGCAATGTATATAAAATCATACCCGTTCTCACTCCCTCTTTAGCACTTGTTATGGTGCGGTGTTCATCACGTCATCAATGAACAAACAACGTCACGATTCATGAATAATATCGTCCACAAAACATGTCGATAAAAGATATTTTGTCATTCTATTGATGACAATGATTGGTAGTATATGAGTTCCCATGGCGTTGTCCTAGGTTTTAAATGTTTAACAATAATTTGTTACGAGTCAGTCAGTAAACGACTTCCTGCACGAAAATCTTGATAATGGGAAATTCACAATAGGGAAATTGAAATCATCACGTTTTTCATACAGCTTGATGGAAATCTGTCCATGTTGATTCCGTTGCCAATGTAAAAGAGTCGGTCGTATCTTTGTTTTCCAGTTCTGGTAAAAATATAGGATGGACGTAGCCAATACATTTCATGTTATTTAAAGACAAGACGTCATCAAAATATCTGAAGGTAAAATTAAACGGCTTTGCAAGGATCAGACCCTTCAATAAATTCAACCTCGTATGCAAGTCAGTCAAAAGAGGGGCGCAGTTGTATATCAATAATTGAACTGTGATCAGGGGAACTTTACCTCGATTTTATCTATTGGTAATAGGTATGTATCATGTTTTAACATTATTCAACAAAGGTAGACAAATATAGTAAATATGACCCAGGTTAGTATCACAACTCGGTACGGTGACCCTATTGTTAATGACGGTGTCGTTGGATATGAGCAGCATTCCTTTTCCATAATTCATCAAAGTCACGATATGTCGAGGTGACCCGTTGCCCGAATTTTTGTGATTTTAGATTACAAAAAGCCTGTCTGGGTGAGTATAGCGCTTTTTTAGTATTTACTGAACAACACTTGTCATTGAGATCAGGACGGAAAGCGATGTGAATATTATGTTCAAAAGCCAATAAAGATAGCATATGTATGTCGTTAAAGCGCGTTAGTTATCTCGCTTGAAGGCGATACATAGGTCTAGCTTTAACGCATTAGTTATATCAAAATTACATCTAAATTAGAGGATTTGAATGTGACGTTTTGATTACTACAATAGTCACCAGAGCGAAGCATACTAGCATTGACGTATGTAGTTCACAACATGGTGAGAAATCGACCTTTTGTGCGACTGTACTATAATCCCATGTACACTATAATGGAAAATAGTCTGACGAGATGGTAAAATAATATATAAAGTACGAAAGATGATAAAAAGCTACTACAGGTGATTAGGCTACGCATTGCTTGCCCGCTTGGCGTATCCAGATGGCCTCCTTGAGCAGACATCTGAAAATGTTGATTTCCCTGTCGACTGCTTTTAGAATGTTCCCAGTCAATGATATGTTTTTGCTTTGTGAAATGATTTTTCAGCGCCAACTTTTTAGCCAGAGACTGAAAATGCTCTTTTTCTGATATAGTGATTTCCTTGCCTTCTTGAGTTCCTGTATCGTAAACGCATTCTGCGACGTTCTCTTTTGGTGTTTTCAATATCTTCTATTGTTTTGATTTGTTGTCTCAAGATGCCTATGTGCTTTCGTAAATCTATGAGAATGAACTAAATAGAAAAGTTAAAAAGTTTTGAGCATCCTGCAAAGTGATATTTCCTATTGACGATTGGATGGACATACGTCCCGGATTTTCGTATTAATATACTTTATGAGATATGGTGCACTTCACATGGACAAAATGCTTATCAGTGTGTGTCCTTCTGTAAATCGACATTGATCTATTATCCTCATAACAAAACTTGTTGATATATTTGTTGTCTCTATAACAATACTTGTCGTACATTTCGGTTTTTTTCGTTCCTATTAAACCTATATGGAGACTTTCTCCGTCTCCACACTTCCTTTCGTAACTTCATGCGTTGAGTTTATCGCTTGTTGAATATGTAGTGTTATATTGTAGGTGAAGTCTCATTGAAGTAGCTGGTAGCTACCTCACTACATAACATACATTCAAGTGCCATAAATGTGAAATTTATTGGCGATGGACAGAACTGCGTCACAAGTCCAGTCCAGTCCTCGATTTCCTGAAATGCAAAATCCACCATAGCTAGGAAATCATTCAGCTCACGGAGGCCGTTTATGTACTACTAATCGGCAATATGCAATATACTAAAAGTTTCTGATTTACATAACTATGTTGTATTTCGGGAGAGTTGTCTAAAAGTCCTGTGTATGTCAATCAAATAGCCATTATTCCTCATTGTTCAGTCTTACAGTATTGCTTTAGTGGGAAAATGTATATTGCGATGAACCACAAAACTAAATGGCAATACAGACACTAACAGGTGTGACACACAGCGTTGTGAACTTGATATTCAATTCTATAAAATAGCCATCACAGGAATGTGCTCTTTTACAAATTTTGTATGGTATGTTGGTTAATACGTATGAAATATTTTATACACTTGATACGAGACAATGAAAAAGCCGTTAAAGTGTCATTTCAGACGGTTTAGAGTTTCAAGGAGTAGGGGAAAAGGTACTACCAGTATTTCAGTTCAACAGGCTGTTAAAAGATACATATCTATATTGTTATGTCACTCGATGTGTTTTCTCGAATTTGGCAGTAACGACATTTTAAACTCGTAATGCTTGGGATAAAGGACGATTGCTGAAAGAAAACTCATTAGCGGTATTCATTCGCATGCGACGTCCTGGTTCTTACTTCTTGTTTTCTTTTATCTAATCCTTTCTCTGACAATTGAAATTTCACACATGTAAAAAAAAGTTAGTAATATTAAGTTAATGTTAATTTCATTTCAAAACATTTTATTAATACAAAGTATTAATAGGATTAGACAGCAGGCTAGTGCCTATATAAGTCTTCTCCTGGGACAACACAGGTGGTCAATTACAGTTACACTGATCAGATTCAAACACACATACATACTCCCTCTCTTTCACACTCACAAACCTACATACTTACATGTAGACGTATAGCATACAGTAACTTACAGTGGATACATACATACAAACACACATATAGACATACATATATACACACACCCTCACACGCACATACACACCCTCTCTCCCATACACACCCTCACACACACATACAGATAAATACACAGAGAAACCTTAGAAGGGAGATAACTCTTACTTAATTTGGTATATAATTCAAAATACAAAATAATCTGATCTGTAAAATTTAGAAATATTTTAACTGAATTAATACACTTACGGTACACTTGCTCCTCCATACTGACAGGAATATTGGGCCATGATTGTCCATAGTAATAAAGTTGACCCTCATCCTATCTAATGGAGAAGCAAGTATACCTGAACGTGCATTACTGTAGAATAGAATTATTTTTTCCAAAATATAGAGGATTTTCTGCTTTAACATTAGAGAGTTACATCCCTATTTTAGGAATAAATGATAACTAGAATATCAGAATTCTTCAATATCTAACCAAGTATACAAATTCATATTCATAATTTATAATTTTAAAAACTTTTATAATTTGCAAAATCTTT